ATTTTATTTTAATATTTCTTCCTTTATCTTCATCTTTACTCATCCTCATCTTCTGCTTAATATTTATCTTTATCATCTTTATGTTTATCATTTTCTGCATTACATATTGCCCTTCTCCTTTGCCCTTATATTAGTAAAATTTTTAAATTTACCTTGGTCTTCATTTTTTCATTTATCTTTACGCATCTTTGTTTGTTTTACCTTTGCCTTTATCCTTATTTTCGGTGTATCATATTATAAATGTGCACGCTCTCTTCTTTGTCATAAATGTTCGCACATGTAGTGTACCTACGTATATGTCATGTAAAGAAATGTCTAACGCTTTGCTTCCACTTATGTACGCTCACTTATATTTTTCAGTCTTACAATAACCCACAAATTAAGACACTTAAAAATAAAAGTCCCTGCCAAAGTGTCTTTGCCTAAGAGAAATTTTAGCAGTTTATAAACACCCCCCACAACGGAAAACACAAAAAGATCGCACAGAGTGATTTGCCACGGTGAGAAACACTCGTTGCTTGAGAGATGAGTGTTTGTGTCTGTGGTAAACACCATACAAGACATTTGGTGACGGTTATTTTCGATCTCTGATTGCTTGATATGCAGGAAAAATTAATCGATTAGGTACAGAATTATCCAGAATTTTAAAACACAGGCCAACAAAAATGGAAAAAAATTTTGGTGCGGCTGATCTTAAAGCTGTTTTTGATTGACTTTTTTGTGCTGATTACGAATCCGTAACTTTAAAGTTTCCATCAGGTCCATATTTTGAGAAAAACTCCATATTTTGATGGCCTTAAATTTCAAATTCCAGATCAATTCAGTTTCTTAACTACTTGAAATTATACTAAAATTTAATAGGTTATAAAACTGTGTACTTAAAATTTTTCTAAAAATTAGAACAATTTCTTATAGCATCTCATATTTTTCTTTTCCAATTTTGTTTTCTAGAATTTCACAGTTTCGATCGTCTCATACCGCGAAAACTTAGCGTTTTCGCAGACGTGCAAGCTTTAGTTTAAATTTACCCTTAACTTGTGAGCTTTGATCAACACTGCTGAGAATTTGAACAGAATTTCACTCCCACAATCGTATTTAACCGCGTAACAGTTTTAATGGTCGAATGCGGCACGCGCAAAAACAAAAATAAAAATGTATTACATTACTTAATACATTCATAAAGAAGCACACAAATACATACATATTTATGTGCATACATACTCATCGCGTGTCCAGCTGTGATTTTTTTTCACTTCTACTTCACACAAATAAGCCACTAAATCTAATTTAACCAAATGTATTTGTATTTATTCACGCGCTTTAATTTAAAATTGTTATTGTTTGTGTACAAAATTAAAATTAGAAAACAAAATCTCAACAAACGCTTAAAACCGGCCGCATTCGTTTCGATCGGATCAGTACGCGCGGAAATGTTAGCCACAAACGATCGTCAATTGGCCAAAGAGTCGAGAACTCAGCGGCAGCAGCTGCAGCAACAGCAACGGATGCTGTACGAAACACGTTTTGGCGTCTATTTGGCCGCTACTCGAACAATAATTTTCGGCGCGCTTTTTCTGCTCACCTTGAGCATTCATTTTGATTCGATCGCGGCGCGAACTGCGGATGTGTTGAAAGTGGAGCTGCCGCATGGCGGAGTCCTAGTCGGCCGTCATCGTGTCTCGCACAAGGGTAGGCATATGCGTGCCTTTATGGGGGTGCCATATGCGTTGCCGCCAGTGGGCGAATTGCGCTTCAAGGTGTGTTACGCTCAGTGTGAATGTGCGCGCGTGTGTGTGTGTGTGTGTGTAGTGATAAAATTCTTGAGTAGAAATTCAGCAAAAAGTCGAATCACTGCGAAGTGAGATTTTTAGAAAACTAAAAAGTTGTAGTAAAATTAACTTAATAAAATTTCTAGAACTTAGTTTCGTTACGCTTGCTGGAGCTGCTGTTTTCAAAAACAAAACAAAAAATATTAAACATTAAATACTTCGTGACTTTTAGGGGCGCACTAGATTGCAATGACAGATTTTTAAAAAATTGCTTCGCTGTCTCATCACGGTGGGAAAGTTTAGTGAACCGTAGTGTTAATTGTGCACGACAACAACAAAAATATACCTACTAAATTTCATGCATACACACTTTGCTGGCGAAATGCTTTCATGTTAAAAATAAATGAATAAATATTCAACAAATTGCGATTAATGAATATTCAATTGATTGTATTTTCAATACATTCGACTGTCGACGTGCAATAAAATCGTTAAATGTGTGCGTTTAAATTTTTGAGAATACGGCTGTTTTGTACGTATTAAACGTGGCAGAAATAGTCGATAACAACCTTTTGTTAAAAATTTTGTACATAACCAGGGTTGCCACTTTGGTAAATAATTACCAAAAAAAAAGAGACACCGAAAAACTGCATATAGGCATGGTCACGTCAAATCGAAATTTTCCGTGTCAAGAAGCATCTTTTATTTAAAAAAAAGCCCAAAATTTTTGTATTTGACAGCTATTCGCCTATGTTTTCACTTACTTTCGCGTAGTGCGGTTTCAAAAAATTTTACGTTTTCATTCCACCGTCAGCACAAAAATTGATGTATAAATTATTCGCCAAATAGGTGGGGTGTTTGATCTCACTCGACTACAAACTTAACTGCTTTGCAACTGCAAAGGAGTTTTATTCATTTTTTAATTATATGTACACATAGAGTTTGGAGGAGAATCTGGGTCAAATACTTAACAAAAATTTTGCCGCCAACTATATTTTTATTATTTATTCATTTCATTATAGCCATAGTCATGATCATATTGATAATATCTTTTAAGCATGCATATAAGCGTATACTTAGTATTTTTTTTTTGAGGATAGTACATACATATGTATGTATGTGCGTATAAATGAAAATATAAATATTTTGTTGAAAGTTTGCTTCGCTCACGCTGTGCTTTATGCAAAATAATTGCAAGTCATCTTCATCCTAATGCTTACTGCGGCGTGTACTTGACTTTTCTGTATTTGAATAAAATTTATTTCAAAGGTAATTCGCCAAATCATTTTTATAGGCGATTCGATTTCTGCACGTTCGCGAGTTGTGCATAATTCAAATCATTAATTAGTTGATATTTTACATACATACATACATACGTAAGTAGTTTGCGGGTTTTGTATTTTTTTTTGTGTTAATGATTGGATGAACGCATGATTGTGAGGCCTGATGGGCAGATGTCGAATGAAATACATGCATGTCTTAGGTCGAGGCCACGAAATGAGCGGCTTCTTTTCCTGAGCGGCGCCGCCCAACCATTCAGAAATGCCGCCCATTGTGTGGCCACTTCAATATGTTTTAATTTTAAGCCGCTCATTGCGTGGCCTCGGCCTTAAGCACTTAAAAATCAATGCTATAGTTAGCAAGGTGCCAAAAATCGTATTTTTTGCAAAAATTTTAATTTTTTAATTGCGAATTCCCGTAGAATAACCATCCAGTAAATATGTTTGTTCTGAAAGATTTTTGTTTAAGGCGACAATGCCCTAGAAATGGGCGTGGCAGTTTTAGAATTAAAATTAACGAAACGCAGATTTTATCGCCGATTTCAGCAGAATATCCCTGCATTAACAACATTTGGTCCGCTACTGTTTTTTAAATCGAAGAATCTTCTAGAATTGGGCGTGACAATTTTTAGACCAAATTAAAAAAAAAAAACTTATTTCCATATGAACCTACCTACACTGCCGGAACAAAGTTTTGGCCCAGCATATTTTTCACAATATATGTATGCAACAATTTTTATTCTAATATTTTTCCGCCAATTTTGTATAAAAATATAGTTCATTCTACAACACAAAACATGAAAATATAATTCCTAAATTTTGTGCAAAACTCGAAAATTCAGCAAATTTTCAACTTTTTATATATTTATATATATATTTTAGAATTTTTTTGAGTATGCAGTTTTGCAGCCCATTAAATTCTAGTAAAAAAAATGCAAGTTTGGAGTTAGTCAAAAATTTCATTGATTTTTGAGATTTTTTTTTAAAGGTATTTTGCACTTTTTCCATATCTATAAAGTATTTTCGAAAAAAAAAAATTGTAAGGAAGGGACTGCGTGAAAAAAAATTTCCAAAAATCAACGGTAATTCCTAGCTACTTAAAACTTGTACTTTATTGCAACAAAATTGATTGGGCTACAAATTTGCATACTCAGAAAAATTCTAGAAAAACCTGATTACAAAGTTGAAAATTTGCTGAATTTTCGCTAGTTTTGCACAAAAAAAGGAAATATACATTTATGGTTTTTGTTGCAGAATTAACCATATTTTTATACAAAACTGGCAGAAAAATATTAGAATAAAAATTGTTGGTTATATATTGTGAAAAAGGTGCTGTGCCAATATTTTGTTCCGACAGTATGTAAGTATGTACATCTCGTAGCAGAACGTTGTGTAAAAATAGAAATACCCCTATTATAGCAGAAGAATCGCTCTTTCAAGTCAGCCTGGTTTTGAATGTATACGACAATTTTGAAAAAAATACACCTTGCTAGTTTGACGAAATCGAGCTTTAACTTAAAAAAAGACGTAAGTAAAATTTTTTCAAAATAATCTATTTAATGCACAAATATTCCTTAAACATCTAGATGCATTTCTGCATCAAAAATAAAATTTTGAAAAAAATTGCTTAAATTCGCGTTTTTTGGTGCTTGGGACTCGAGATGATTACATTATCAATTCATCATATTATTTTTCTTCAAGAATCTCGGTTTAGCTTTAACAGAACGTCGCGTTGAGTCGATTTCTACATTCCTTCTGTCCGTATGGCTGTCTGCCTGTCTGTTTGAACTTAATCTTGTCACTACGCTTTCGAGATATCCGACCAAACTTAGACTTGTTTACATGTTATCTTTAGCTCTACCTTTATCTACATATATGTACACATAATTTTCTTTATATTTAGCGTCATTTTCACCTTCATTCTTATATCCATATTTATATTCACCTTCTTCTCTCCTAAATCCCAATCTTAACCTTTGTCTGCATGTTTATCATTGTCTTTGCTTTTGTCCACCTACATCGTGGAGTTGAATATTTAACGCAAACATCTCCGAACTCGATTAAGAAGCTTCACTTGAATAACGTTCTTTTTTATACGTGGCCCACCGCATCACATTTTTCACAAAGGGTTAAGCTCGACCACCAGGCAAAAAATTTACAAAAGATAGATTTTCGACTCTAATTTAATTGTAATACATCTATTTCCCATACTCGACAATTGGCCTACAGACTTGAAATATTTTCTTAAAAAAAAAAATCCGCGCTAGCTAAAGAATACACTCATAAAGTTCACAAACAAGCTCGCCTGCAGTATGTTAATCTTTTCGGCTACGATTAAATTAAAATTTAAAGTGATTTGAATAGTCTAGTTCTATGAATCAATTTTAACATTCTCATGAATAAGTTATGCATATTTCTTTCACAAGTGCGATCATGGTAGCTGAAATACATATAAAAAAAATTTAAAAATACCCAGTCATTTGCATAGCGAATTGTAGCACTAAAGCAATCAATATTAAATATTTAGCAAGATCTACTCGAATATCTACTTTTACTTACCTCATACATATGTATGTATATTCCAATATTTCTATACAGCCGCCTGTACCATATGGCCCATGGGTCGGCGAGAGACAAACTATACAAGATTCACCAAAGTGTATACAACGTGATCCCTATCGGCGTGACTTAGAAATCGAAGGCAGCGAAGATTGTCTCTACTTGAATGTGTACACGCCTGAGGTAAGCCGCAAGCGCACACATACCTTTTTTTTATTTGCATACATAAATTTCCTTCAAAAACAGGATCTTCCCACCCATGACCCCCTACCAGTCATGGTCTATTTTCACGGCGGCGGCTTTCAATGCGGTTCCGGCATCAGCAGCTTTTATGGCCCAGAATTTTTACTCGATCACGATGTTATATTGGTTATCGGCAACTATCGCGTCGGTCCACTCGGTTTTCTCAGCACTGAAACGCTAGATTGTCCAGGTAATTTCGGATTAAAAGATCAAGTCGAGATCTTACGTTGGGTCCAGAAAAATATTGGCGCTTTCGGCGGTGATCCATCATCGGTGACGATCTTCGGTAATAGCGCGGGTGGTGCTAGCGTCACATACCACATGCTCTCGAACTCGTCCAAAGGTAATGTACATAAATTAGTATAGTTTGCGTCAAAAATAAAGTTAATATCGACAATTTCTGCTAAGTACAGGCCTCTTCCAAAAAGCCATTGCACAGTCGGGTACCTACTACAATCCATGGGCGCAACCTCAATATAAGGGCTTGTCGGCGAGTCGTGCACGCAAAGTGGCGCAGTTGGTGGGCTGTAATGCCGAGGCGCAATGGCCAGAGCTTTTGCATTGCTTACGTGGCAAAAGCGCCAAAGATGTCGTTGCCACACTCTACGAGTTATTTGTAAGTGAATTTAAGTTGAAAAATATTAAGCTACTCAGTGCTAACGCGTGTGAAATTCAATTTCCGCAGGAGTGGGATTATGATCCCATGGTGCCATTCCAACCGGTGGTAGAGCCTCCACATGAGGGTGCGTTCCTCACAGTTTGGCCGCGTGATGTCAGCTTGCCACACGGTTTCTCTTTGCCACTCATGATTGGCGCCACTTCAGAGGAGGGTCTGCTCAAAACTGCGCCGTTACTCAATCTGCCTGGCCTCTTGGATGAATATAAGCAGCAATTTGATACAATTCTACCCATCGAACTGCAATACGATCACCATCCGCCGGAAGTACGCGAAGAGATTACGCGTAAGATTGAAGAATTCTACTTTAAAGAGGGACACACCTATAACAAATATAATCATCAAAATTTGACCGATGTAAGTTTGTTTAAGAAGAGTGTTTATTTCCTAACACAAATAACGGTGTTACTCCTGCTTTGATAGCTAATCTCTGATGGTTGGTTTATTGCTGGCATCGATGAGTATATTCGCCAGCGCGCCGAAGCGGAGAAGTCATTGAAAATACCGCCGTACTATGTATATCTCTTCGAGCATCGTAGCCCAGCAAGTTTCTCAGAGCTTTTTAAAGGTGGAAGAGAGGACTATTATGGTAAAGCGATAAAATAACCAAAAAAAATCTCTGAAATTTTAAATTTACTAAACAATTTCCTCCCAACCAGGTGCTTGTCATGCCGAGGAGTTGCAATATCTATTTCCAGTAGCAATGGAGTTGTTCGTCAGCGCCTCGCCCACAAAAAGCGATATTGAACTACGCGAAGCTATTCTGCAGATGTGGGTGAATTTCGCCAGAGAAAGGTAGAGGTTTTACACATTGTAATATTTCTACTAAAAATCTATGCTAATGAATGACTTTCTATGTCTGACTCAATCCAGCAATCCAACGCCGGCAAACTCTCCGCTCCCACACTGGAGCGCGGCAAAGGGTTATCCTGTCAATTATGCTCGTCTAGGTCACAAAACACCTGAAGAATTTACAATACTACAAATGGAGCGTAACTTGTATGGCGATCGCGTGAACTTTTGGCATCAACTAAGACCACACATTCCAGCCGAAGAGCGCAAAATAAACCGGAAGGACGAACTCTAAAGGTTACCACTAAAAATTAATTTGTAAAATACAAAATTTAAAGCATAGTATTTAAGTGCAGTGATAGTTTTTTTTAAATAACAAGTTTGTTTGTAAATATATAAAAATAAAAATCTCATAATTCTAATATATTTACACACGTATGTACATATATACTTCAGTGAAAATCAGCAGACGACAGGAGCACGAAGCCAAGCCGATGATGACTTAGGTGATTTCATCTCGTCGTCCTCTACGCAGTTGCAATAAATAGGGTCTAGTGTGATATTGAATCTCACTGCGTAAGCCCCGATAGGCCAGGGGCCTGACAATATACCTACTAGAATCGAGAGAGATCTCTAGACTTCGTAGTGGCACAAGCCCTTGTTTTCCCCCAGCATTCGCTGCGTTGACCCGAGGCTTATCTTTCCAAGAGGAGTCTACAAATAGTCATGGGAACTCCCACTATCTATTTTCGTGGCGATATTATCTGGCGGGTGCTGGCTCTGAATGAAATCCATTAAGGCATTGCGCAACAAGCTTTGAGCGTGTCTGAGTAGATGTTAGCCTCCTTTACCGTCGTTGCGCACCGCAACAGCGAATCGACTGCTTCATTAATAGTAGCAACCTCTGGTGCTTCCTTAAAACCGCTGCCCTCCGTCCGCTCATCGCTTTATGGGATGGCACCAGACTAGTCATGCAATGATCGTGTTATCAGGGAGGAAATCGAAGCCCCCGATAATATTGGAGTCTCCAGAAAAGTTTCAAGTACCCTTGAGTTACCTCGTAGAGGCTATCCAAAAATTTGCCTGAAAGTATCGCATCATACGCAACCTTCTAGTAAGTCGTTTACGACCACGATCCAGAGAAGGGGTGAGAGGACACCGTCCTTGGTGCGCCCCTGTTTACCCTGCGCTGAATAGTGGCACCACTTCTTCGAGAGCCTAGGACTCTTGCGTGTCCTCTCAAGAAACTTGGCAGAGCTGAGGTTACAGATTCAAGAAAAAAAAATTACATACTAACTTGGTCCTGCTCTCTTTTCCTCACTGAAAGAAATTGCACTCCAACGGATTTGCAAATTATTAAAAGTCGCTAAAAAGTGCATTATGGCTTAGACCAACTGATGGTCTAAGTATGTGTGTTACATCTCAGGTATCAGCTAAGCAAACCTCACCTAAACAATGCCATACTCTCATATTTCGCAAAGCCTTTGTTAACCGACTTCAAAACAGAATTTGTTTAAATAAAGCCCTATCTCAGCAAATGGTTTAAAAATACTTTATCCCAACTGCCGATATATTGAATTTACGTTAAGATGGGGCATTTTTGAACCAAATTCTGAAATAGGGCATTTTCGAACTGACAGCCAAGATAGGCCAATCTTCCACTTAGCTGCCAATATGGTGTGAAACGTTGATACTTTTTCTTGCAACCATGGAATCTATTTAACTATAAAATTTATATTACCTTTATCGGTTGCAGTTCTTAGTTAAAAAATGTGCAGGCATTAATGCCATTGCTGTATCTCTCTCCCACTTTTGCTTGCAAAGATAATGTATATGTGCATATATGTATTTAGATATCGTCGTTTAAAGTGCAAAACCGCGTAACTGAGATTTATGCTGAAAAAGAGATTTGCTTAGCGGAAGCAGAAGAGACACTAAGAAGTAAGCAGCTTTAATGAGAATGCCTTATCGCTCTATTTCAGTCATCAAAAGGGGTAAGAGAAACATTCAATAAATTGAGGTGCTATCCTAATTACCTTTGCCATTCTAAAGATTACTACGTATCCCCTTTTTACCAAACTCTGCCTACATATTGCAATCTGTTGCGAAAAACATATCGAGTGATTTCAACAATCTTTTTGCAAGCTTATAAGTATGTTTACGGGTGTATTTACATTAGAGTGGTCCTAAATATGGTAAGTCGGAATTTTAATGCTCTCACCCCCTAAGATTTTTCTATATCGAAAAAATATACCTCTATTTTTCTTTTAATCAAAAAATATTTAGAGGTCGCTCAAAGCGCTCAAAGTTTTCCATGTATTTTATGGGAGGTTCGATGAGAAAGTGAATCTTAGTGCAAAAATTATTTTTGTTTATAAACATCTTGAATCAACCAAAAAATAATAATTTAAAGCTTTTTATGCATTTTTAAACGACTTCCAAAAAAGGAGGAGGTTATCAGTTCGTCGTAATATTTTTTTTTTTATGTATGTTACCGCATAACTTTGGACCACGTCAACCGATTTCGATAATTCTTTTTGCATCGGAAAGGTAGTGTCTCAGAGGTGGTCCCATACCTGGTTTAGATCCTATCATTGGATCATGAAATATATATATATATATATATTTTTTTGTTTTTTAAGTCGGTTTTTTTGCTAAAAATTACTTGTTTACGTTTAGAAATCAAGTTCTAAGTAAATTTCAAATAGGTTGTGTTGAAAGTGCTGTCAAATAATTTGCGATTTATAATCCGACTGCTTGGTAAGAAAAGTATATATTAGAACTCATTTGATTTTAATAAATTTGTGTAATATATCAAATTGTGTGAGTGCTTTATCTATATAATGAGTTATTATTAAGCAGTATTGGCCTTGTTCCACCCGTGACAAAGAAACGCGCGGACTCGCCCTTTACCTATATACACTTGTGGTCAGCTAATTAAGTTAACCCTCATATAGTTGCTATGAAAAATTGTATTGTTATTGGGAATCTCATGAAGATTTCAACGAAAAGTGGATTTCCCCATATAAAATACATGAGAAACTTCGGGCGCTTTGAGCGACCTCTAAGGGCCGTTTGCACCATGTCTAGTTAATTCTAACTCCCAGTTAAACATCTTTATCGACGTTATCGACACCCATCATATAACATGTGATCGATAAAGCAGTTAACGTGCTTAACTGAAGGATGTACCTCCAGTTAGCGTTAACCAGACTTGGTGCAAACGGCCCTTAGGTTAAGCACATCGACTGCTTTATCGATTACATGTTATAGGCTGGGTGTCGATAACGATGTTTAACTGGGAGTTAAAATTCACCAGACATGGTGCAAACGGCCCTAAAAATTTTTTTGACTTCAAGATGAAAAAAATTGGGGTATCTTTTTTCGGTATAGAACAATCCTAGCGCATGGAGCATAAAAATTCCGACATTACTTCTTCACGTGCATTTTTGGACCGCCCTAATGTACATGCATATGCACACACTGCTTGTATGCTCTTAAATGCCGAGTTAGTCTTAAATACAAAGATAACAGGTAAATTCTATACAATAATTATAGTTTCAAGTGCGAAGGCGCTATCAGTCGCCATTCGGCCACCAAGTGAAGAGGATCATTTATTTACATACTCGTACAAGTAATCTGTGCGCAACTTATTCTCAAACAAAATGATGAAATCGACCAGTGTTCTAATACTTTTTCTCTTTGCGTGGATTAATCTTTACGCCTTGACTGCGGCGCGTACGTCCGACATTTTAAAAGTGCAGCTACCGCATGGGGGCGTACTGGTCGGGCGCCATTTGACCTCTCATAAAGGTCGTCATATACGAGCTTTTATGGGTGTGCCTTTTGCACTGCCACCCGTTGGAGATTTGCGTTTTAAGGTAAGTGCGGAAAAATAAAATGAACTAACAAGAAATCTAGAAAAAAAAAATATAATTAAACTTACTATTAAACCAATTGAATAACTTTAATCAAATAAAGTAAAATAATAATACATTAAATGAAATTAAAAAAGGTAGTAAAGTAGGAAAAAATAAAAACAAAATATTAAAATAAATTAAAAAATATAAATTAAAATAATTTAAAAAACCAGAGCAAAATATATTGAAAAGGTAAAGCAAAAAACAAGAAAAAGATAAAACACAAATTAAAATAACTTAAAAAATAAAGTAAAATAAATTTTAGGAAATAAATTAAAATATAATATATATATATTAGACTGCATCGCTCCCCATACAAAGAAAAATCGGTACTATTATTCCATTAGAATTATAAAACCTATTATATTTTAAGACGTCCACCAAAATATTTCCGAAAAATATTAAGATTTAAGTGAGCTGGACCGATTTGAAAATACCTCCAAAAATTTTAGTTTTTCATGAATAAAAATAGTTTCTTAAAGATTTTTTTTTGAAAAAATCCCCTCACATGACAAAACGGTTTAAGCTTAAAAAATTTGCACGAAAATATTTTTAAAAAATTAAAAAAAAATTTAAACGGAATCGTAATGAGATTTTTGACTTTTTTCAAAGATTGGTATAAGAAAAACTTGAATAACTGAACCTAAGCTCTTCCGATTTAGACTTAAGAGGTGTCATTGGAAAGGTATTTTCTCACCCTTTTTATTTCTTTGATAATAAACTCATTAAAAGGATGAAAGAGAAAGGTAGGATGAACGAACATCATTCAAAGTTGAGTTAAGATGTGTTGGTATTTGAAAAAAAAAAATGGTACAAGAATGACTTTTTTTTGGACAGAAATAAAAACAGTGTGAAAATATCTTTCTATCGAAATCCCATAAGTCTAAATAAGAATAGTTTTGGCCCAGTTATTCAAGGTTTTTGTAAATCAATCTTTGAAAAAAGTAAAAAAACAGCATCAAAAATCTCATTCTTACGATTCCGTTGAAAATATTTTTAAATATTTGTATGCAGATTTTTTAAGCTTAATCTGTTTTGTCATCTGAGGGGACTTTTTTCAAAAAGTTCTTTAAGAAACTATTTTTATTCATAAAAAACTCCATTTTTGGAGGTAATTTCAAATCGGTCCAGCTCACTTAAATCTTAATATCTTTCCGAAATATTTTGGCGGACGTCTTAAAATATTATAAATTTTGTAATCCTGGCGGAAAAACCGCCACTTTTTTGGTGATGCAGTCTAATATATATATATAATAAATAAATTAAAATTAAGTAAAGTGAATAAAATAAAATAAAATAAAA